TATAGGAACTTGATTTATTCATAATAGGCAAAGGCAAGTTGAAAAAACCACGCGTATTTACTATACACTATTTGCACTTTATTGAGGAAACGGAGGCAAGACACGCTTCACTATCTTTAGTGGAAGATGATGGGCTTTTTCTTCGCGAGAATTAACGCGACCATCTGGTTAGCATATACGGGTTGACAATTTACGGTTTTCTGGATGCCACGAGCGACTAAGTTCTCTTTTATCGCTCGATTTGTTCAACTTTGAAGATGTTTGTCGAGTTGGCGAGTGTTTGCATACTTGTTTCAATGGTACATGCAGAATGTTAGAAGTTCACCGAATTTTAAGCTTGAGTTAAAGTGAATGGTAAAAACTGATGAAACCTCCTACTTTTAATTGGCTATGCACTTCGTTTCGAGGTCACAGAGAACTTTGTGAGTTTATGAATGAATGGGAGTGGACTTACTGGTTGATTTTTACTATGGTTCCAGTATGCACGCTCTTGAATCTCATTCAGCGCATTGGATCCCATTCAGCGAGCACACATCAAAATCTATGGTCATTTACCTTCAGTTCCTGGGTATTGGGTATTGATCTATAGTTAACTGGACCAGTGACCTCAAATTCATCCACCACGTTGCGAATAGTCCTCTCAATAGGATGATTATGGCGACCGTAAAATGGACGAAGCGCGCGGTACGTTGTCCGAACAGAACACCCATTTTGATAAAACAGTTATATCATTTGCATGACAACTAATTTGACAGATTTAGCTTCAACAAGATGGCCGTTATCAATTGTCAAAGTTCGGGAGTCCCTGTTGGAGGACCCTATATTTTATGACGAATGAGGTAGATATCGTCATCAGAAATATGTCGCGAAGTGTATTTTTCAACGAAAGAATTTTTTTTAAATTCAGAACTTGTTGAGTTTGTTGGTAACATTTCAAAACTTTCAACCCTCATATATATCAAACTTTGGGGGGAATTTCGGATATGCTGTAATCGAAGTTTCGATTTTAATCTCGAAATTTTGACTTTAGCCTCGGAATTACGACTTTAAACTCGAAGTTCCGACTTTCATCTCGAGTTTAAAGCCAACATTTTGAGATCAATATAGAACATTTTGATTTTAATCTCGAAATTTCGGCTTTGTTCTCGAAATTAGTACTTTAAAGTCAAAATTTCGAAATTTTGTGATTTAAGTCTGAATTTCGAGATTGAAGTTGAAATTTCGATTTTTTTTGAAGTCGTAAATTCGAGATTAAAATCAAAATTTGGAGACTTAAACCGAAAATTTGATTTCAATTTGGGATTTGAGACTAACCTTAAATTTCGACTTTAAGCTCAAGATCAAAGTCGAAATTTTGAGCTCAAAGTAGTATCGAGACTGAAATCGAAATTTCAAGATGAAAATTTCAATTTTGACTTCAATCTCGAAAATACGGTTTCAAACTCGAGATTAAAGTCAAAATTTTGAGTTCGAAGTAGAAATTTCGAGTCGACAAAAGTCGAAATTCTGAGACTAAAGTCAAAATATTGAAATCAAAATCAAAACTTTTATTTCGAATACTAAGCCAAAATTTGGAAGTTGAAGTCGAAATTTCAAAATCAAAGTGAAATTTCCACTTCAATTTCGAATTTCGACTTTAATCTCGACATTTCGACTTCGAATTCAAAATTTAGAAATTAAAGTCGGAATTTCCAAGGAACAAATGATAAAAATATGTGGCCCTTCTGCGCTTTCCTAGTAAACACATACGAACGTCACAAGTTTTCTACAGCTCGAAAACAACAATAGCTNAATGTTTCGTGATGAATTTCACTAGTTCTCCATCACATTTGAATTGATTGAATCACCTGTACTTTGCTCTACTTCAGTTGACAAATCGTGGCAATTTTCAAGAAATTAGACGTAACCGGTCGTGAGCAATTTTGCAGTTAATGATTTCGAAACGGCCTTGCAACTTGTAGAAAACGATCCAAATTAATAAGCACGGCAGTTAAATAGTGTTGACTTATATCACAGTACTTAAGCAGCCGCATCTTTCAAAGCTGACGTTATACGAACTGGGATGATTTTCCAATTATTACTCTAGCGATGTAAAATACGAAAGTCTCGCGTTTCATTATTCACTGATTTCTATTGTTTATTGTCTAACACAAATTTGAAATAATTGGATGTTGTGTTCCACATTCCATGTTGATGCTACAATGTTCATCGAACCTTGATAAATAAGAAATTGAGATTCTCTTTCACCTTTGTTTATTCAATAATTCAATAAGAGGTGTTGTTCATGGAAACTTTGGAGAAGGCTACATCAAAAACTGAAACATGTATTAACTTTAAGATTTGTCATGACTTTCGGTATGAAACACTTGAGTGGCCAATCTGCAAGTCAATCAAATCCCGATAAATAATCCCAACTTTGTAGACTACACAAGAATCATAAGAAGGTTAAGTTAGGTTAGGTTAGCAGGCCAGGCATAAAGTATGTGCTCTGCTGTTTCATCATTTTTCAAACAGAAGCTTCACACATTGTCTTCTGACAGTCTTCTGACAGTTTGACAGTCTGCATATGATGATTCAGTCGACAGTGACCTGAGAGAAGGCCTCTTAGACATCGTAGTTCATCCCTACTGTAGTCCAACAACTGTTTGGTATTAAGCTTCGAAGGGTGAATGAATGCCTTTTGATTGAGCCAATCCTGGAAGAATCTGTCAGGAGTCCATAAATCTTGTTACCGTCCAGGTGTTCAATGTTTGTTTGGCAAAGCCTAAAGCGATCCTTCGACAGGTTCTGGTCCGAGGAAGCTGCTTGCAGCACCCTCCTTTGCAAGGGAGTCAGGAGCCTCATTGACTTCCAGGCCAGTATGGCCAGGAATCCAGACCAGAGACAATTTGTTGAGTCTTCCTATTGAGGAGAGTTGTTTTTGCCAATTTGCTACCAATTTAGTCGTTGCTTGGTAAGAATCAAGAACTTTCAACGCCGCTTGACTGTTCGAGAATATTTTTATTGACTTGTGTATGAGATTGGATTCTTTCAATTATCTCCGCACATAATTCAAAAGCATAGATTTCCTCTTGAAATACAGTTGCATAGGTTCCTAGGCAGGTTGATATCTGTCCTGGGTCTGCGACTGAAAATACCTGCACCCGAACTGGAAGGTGTTCTTGATCCATCTGTGAACCAATAACTATCTGCTCTTAATATTTCCTCCTCCCGGAGGATCCAGTCCTCTCTACTCGGGAACAATACTTTATAAAGCAGTTCGTAGTTGACAGTTGGAGGCATAATATCAGAGGTCAATGCCAGAATGCTGTGACTTACAGTGTCAGTCAAATCTAAAGAAATGAACTTTAAACGTTCAAGCCAGTCTCGAATATACCTTCAAAATAGGTTGAATGGACTGACGCCTATCAGAAAACAACTATTCCCCTGGCAAATACCACGAAGGGCGTCAGTGCAGGAATCTTCACAGAAAATTTCCTGCATATGTAATTGGCAAATATGCAGGAACGTTTGAAGTTCATTTCTTTAGATTTGTTTACTGCCACTTCCCTCCTAGGGTTGCACCTTTCCTCTGCACCTTTCCGTGTTAGGAATCACACGTTGAAAGGTAAGACCTCGTTAGTCGTTAGCTCGCACAAGTTTCTCAACTTCTGAGAGTTGTTGTTCGTATGGGGGCGGCAGCTGATTAACGGAAAAACAGATTTTAAACAGATTTTAAAACTCCTCCTTCAACTCAGCGATACGCCATGTAGAATACATCTTGAATTGCAAACAATTTAAATAAGAAACTTTCAAATAAATCAATAAAAAACGGTGGAAACTTTGACAGCTAATGACCAATGTGACAAACACTCAGCGCACTCTGCCGGATGAGATTCCCGTAATCATCCCCATTGCATATGCAGGAAATTTTCTGTGAAGATTCCTGCACTGACGCCTGTCGGATATAATCCAACGCCATTCGTAGTATTAGCCAGGGGAGTAGTTGTTTTCTGATAGGCGTCAGTCCATTCAACCTACTGTGTAGGTATATTCGAGACTGGATTGAACGTTCGAAGTTAATTTCTTTGGATTTAATTCAATTCTGGTTTATAATAGTGTGGTGCAACCCCTAACAGATGCATCCCGCAATGGTATTACAAAAAATATTCTGGGGCCATTGATTTTCTTACTGTTTCTCATTTATTTGTTAGACTACGTCCAATTCTTTGTTTTTTAAGTTTTGGCTCATTTGGAAGGAGCCCCTACGAAGCTTGTTGACTGGTTTGCATATCAAATTCGTGAACTCATGTCTCGTCACCAATTCCAATGCGTCTTGTGAATGTGGGGTCGAAATTGACGCGTTGAACTTTACGTCAGTGAGTTTTTGCTGAAATTTCACGTCTTTTCGTACAAACTGACTCGTGAGTGTAGAAATGCCAGCGGCTATCTCTCTCACACTTCAACGACGATTTTCAGTCACCATTTCCTTTACGTTAGCGATGTTGAGTTCTGTTGAGAATGTTGATGATGACCGACATGACTGAGACAAATCTTCCACCACATTTCGACCCCTTTATAACGCACTGTACCTCACATAGCCAGTGTTTTTGATAAAGTCAATTTACCGTGAGTCTTGTGCAACATTTTCAGCGAAATTCTATCTGTAATGCAAAGTCTAAGACACATTCTTTGTTCGATATTTTCATCAATTGAAATCGCAAAACACGTTTGAGGTTGATCCACAAATTGCACTGTGTGCAAACTGAAAGATATATGGGGCTCAAACTCCGCATGAGTATAGAGGACAGTTGTGCCAACCGGGCTGCAGAAATAATTTTGAAACTCCCTTCACGCGGGCTTTTTGAACGATCGATCCCCGGTACTTACTCAACAGAATGTACTCTCAAGCAATGGAAAATCAATTGAATCCCTCATCATCCATCCCAGCATTCATCCTCTTCCTAGAGGGGTTCACTAATGCTTTATGATTTGTAATTCTGAGCTTACTTCTTTTCCAGATGTACCTACACGATGCATAGAAGAAACATGTGTCGGAATGAGCAGCGGGACCGCCATAGCTATATCCACCAGAGATCTCTGCACGTGTCGGTGCCACTCTCATCTTCCTGCATTCAGAGAGGACCTGGGGATCTGTGTAGATGACATCCATGGTGAGTTTTTGTTAAATATTGAAACTATTTTCGACCCCTAGCAATGATGAACCGTGTGCTTTAATTAAAAAGTTCAACAACAGATTACTGCTATTACCAAAGGACACTGTCTTCAGAATCGGGGGGTTTTCTCCTGAATGATCGAGAATAGATGGTATACAGGGTAAACAGGCTCAGGGTCCTGGTAGATCGAGGACAATAATGACACCACAACTAGAGGAAGCAATTCTTCGGGAAGTTGACGCCAACTCTTCAACAAGTACCCAAAAATTTGAGGCACAGTTCAATGTTACTCATCGAAGTATTCGGAAGGTTGTGAACACAAATATATAATAATAATAATGTTTATTTCATAAGATTGATTACATATACATATAAACAAGAAGAAATGCAGAAATAAACATGACAAGTCACTGAAGCTCATACAGCTTGTCCATGACAAAAAAAAACTGAAACAATAAACTGAATTGAGACGTTTTGTGTGTGATATCAGTTGAAATGGAAAAATAAATAAAAATATCGTGAACATGAACCAGTGACCAAATAACATTACAAACTAAACTATTGGTCATAACATTCATCATTCATACACCATATACATAGAGTAANTATTTCATTTCAGGTTTATTTTGGTTAACATAATTATTATTTTCAGCTATCTCATTTTTAATTCTTCTTTTTTAGTTGTTTCAGGGATTTCAAATCATTTTATAGTAGACAATGGAAGTCCGAACTAGTGAAATTCATCATGAAACAAACGTTGAAAGTCATATGTTTTATAGTTCATTCAATGTTCTGTTCTTGATATGGTCCTTGATGACTGCACATTTGTAGAGTTGCTGTCTATTCTGTAAGGTGAGTCCTTGTTCAGAAACAATCCACTCGCCTTGATAGAAAATAATTTTCTTTCAATAATTTTCTTTCAATATTTGGGTTGGAATTGTCGGTGACCATCTCATTGGGCTTCACTTCCTTCCTTCCTTAATGGAGAAGAATACCGAAGGTTTTTAGAATTTGTTTTACCTGGACTTTTAGAAGGAATTCCAGTCATGGGAAGATTCCGTATGTGGTACATGCACGATAGTGCTCCACCATACTTTAGTGTAGTGGCACGGCAATTTTTGGATGAAAATTACCATAATCGCTGGAATGGTAGAGCAGGCCCACACCCATGGCCACCTCGCTCGCTCGAAATGAACCCCTTAGATTATTTTCTCTGGGGACACCTCAAAGCGTTGTTATACGGAATAAAATCATTGATTCATGTGACATAATAAAAAATACGCCAGGTATTTTCAGAACACTGCGAAATTCAATGATGAGGCGGCTAGACGGTTGTATTGAAGCCGAAGAAGGCCATTTCCAACACTTAATTTAGTGCAATTCGTTAGTCTGGATGTTTATGTTATTTAATATTTGTTGTTATTGTTACATAATTAGTAATGAAAAATTGTAAAAATAATAATTTCCAAAAGAAACATTTAATTCCCCATATTATTCCTTGTGAGGTCCAGGGATATGCAATTAGGTCGATATTTTTTCTTAAAAACTAAGCAAGATACGAAAAAAATTCAAGAGACAAAGAGATGGTTCGAGAATGTGTA